AACTGGAATCCGTGATCCGGATCCCGCTGAGCTGCTGCCCCCCGCAAGGGGTGGTAGGCCGCACCTGTTCAGAGTTCTACCACCTCCTAATGGCACATCTGGGTACGTGGACTTTGAGGTACCACACAGCACTAAGCTGGGTCTTTCTGCACAGCTTGGACTCACAATGATCCTCCTGTTTTCAGCCTCCCCAGCGCTGGGATTACAGGCATGTACCACCATGCCAGTCTTGTTGGCCAGCTTGGCGTGCCCAGGGCAGGGCTGGCACAGCATGCTCTACTGGGGATCAAACTTGAAAACTTGCGCTTGCCAGACAGGCGCTTAGACCGCTGGGCTATCTCCCCAGCACTGTACTCTAAGGGCACTAACCTATTTCAGGAGGGCTCCACCCTCAACCCAGTCACCTCCCAAAGGCACCCCCTTCAAATACCATCATATTGAAGGTTAGGATTAACATGAATTTTAGGAGGACACAAACTTTCACTATACATGTGTATGTGTGTAATGAGATCTGCTTTTTCACAGCCAAGGAGATGTCAAGATGGGGCAGGAAAAACAGAGGAGGAAGGGCAGCGAGAGGGCCTGTGAGAGGGGGAGGCAGCAGGGGAGGCAGCAGACCGCGAGGGGAGAGCAGAGGCTCCAGGTGGAGGTCGCAGCCTCCATAGGCCTCCACGGGCCACGCAGGAGACTGAGGGAGGAGGCAAGCAGAACAGCAGTAGAAGGAGAAGACAGAAAGTCATCATCGGAATACAGAGAATAATATTCAACAGCCAGGACTTACTGTGCTCCAGACACTGCCCAAAAGCTATGGAGCAGTCCTTATCAAACCCTTACAACAGCTCCATCCAGTTTTCTACAGATGAGCAGACAGAGGTTAAGTGACTCAGTGAAGGCTGCTACACCAATAGGTAGCAAAGCTAAATCTTTTAAAAATTTATTTATTTATTTATTTATTTATTTATTTATTTATTTATTTATTTGGTACAGGGTCTTGCTACACAGCTCAGACTCTTAGTGATCTTCCTGTCTCAGCCTCCCTGGCACTGGGATTACAGGCGTGCACCACCATGCCCGGTTTTGGTGGCTGGCACAGTGCACCTGAGGTACCAGGGCCAGCATGGCAGATGGTACCAGGGTTTGAACCCAGGTCCTTGTGCTTGCCAGGCAAGTGCTTAAGACTGCTGAGCTATCTCCCCACAAAGTTGGAATTTGATCTGACAGCTCTCTCATTCCAGAACCTGTGCTGTCTTAACAGGGTAATGCTTGTCTGTAAAAAGCGAGGTTTGTATTGTTTTTTCCCTTGGGCTACAGAAAAAGTGTGAGCAATACTTTTGAGCAAGAGAGGACACATGGGACGCCTTGCAAGTCCGGGTAGTGGTCCCTCAGACATACTGAGCACCTTGTGTGCGGGGCACTATGTCCAAGACAGTGCGGACACAAGCGTAGGCAGGGCTCCTGATTGGCAAGCATGCTCTCAGCTCGCTGATGGAGGCGGAGGGGTACTGGGCTGGCTCAGCAGGCTCGGAGCCCAGCCTGTCCCTCTTATCAGCTTGTGAGTAACCCACAGGGAGCAATTCATACGTGGGCAGTGGTCCCCAGTAGTTCTTGAATATTGGCCAGTACCACACTGCCTGTGAACAACTGCAGTGGGTGAGTCTTCCTTAGGTATGGGGCAGGGTGGGGTGTGGTGGAGCCTGGAAGGCAAGGAGCATACAGGGTGCTGCTGGACGGGCAGATACTGGCTCTGAAGACAAGCTAGTAAAGGTCAGCCCAGACTGAAGTATGAGATGGCATGGCGCAAGCTACGGGATGGTGAAAGGATGCTATAGACATGATGGAGTTTGGTGACCTGTCAGTTACCAAAGGGTGCTTATTAAGTAAATCCAATACACGATTTATAAAGTGAATGCATGGGTTGGGCAGAGAGCACCCTCTGATTTTAGCTGACCCCATTGATCCCTGGAGGATTTCAAATGGGGCTCAGCCGGCCCTTACCCAAGTCCTAATAAAAGGGAATCTAGACTCCAGGGACAGGCCTGGCAGGCAAAGAGGAATGGGCAGGGACACTCTAGGGCCACCACCCAGCTGGAAGATGCGGACAAAGGTTTTGCAAAGCCTGGTGTGCTATGTGTAAAGCAATTGCTCAGAGGAGTCAGGGCCAGGCAGCCCCGCCTGGGAGCTTGTTCTGCCATCTGTTGTGGGGTCCTGGGTGCTATGGGTACTCAGCGGCCCTTTGGGCTCCATGTCCCAGACTGGGTAAATGTGTCATTCACTGTCCGCAGCGCCGCGGGAGCCTGAGGGCAGGGATGTCTGGGAAGATGGGGCTGCCAAGGCCAGGACCCTGCAGGCCTGGAAACCAGCCTGGCCCTTCTCTGATGCATGTTTTCAAGGTTGTTTTGCTCTGGAGATCATCACTGGGCCTCGTTGCCCTGCCAACCACCCCACCAGCCCTGGGCCCCATGGGATCCAAGCACACACAGCTGGTCAATGTGAAGAGACTGCAGCCCGGGAAAGGACAGGCTGGTGCGCTGCCCACAAGCTGACCTTTGCTAGGCCCCATCTGCAACAGATTATTTTAGGAGTAATTTGTAAAAGGAAGCTGGAATTGGGGTGAACACATGGGCAGTTTCACAAATGCTGTAATTTAGGCCACAGAGCAGTTCCCAAGACCAGGTGGCTGCAGCATGGGCTGCCAGGCTGTTGTGAGCACTGAGGTGTGGGTCAGGGGGTCCACGGCCATTCCTACCCACGAGCCCTGGCCCCAGTAGAACAGGGTTAGCAGGCTTGGCCTTTGATGAAAGGGTCAAGGGCCTTTAGTGATCCTGAGAGTGTGAGTTCACAGCACGGTGCCTGGCCTTCAAGCATGCAGAGCCCGTCAGGACAGCCATGCAAGGTGCTTGCACCAAGGTGGGGTGAGCTCCCCCTGCACTCTAACCATTCTGTCTATGTGGGACTACCCTGGGACAGAGAAGAGAGCTGGCAGGCTGTGCTTCAGCTGGCTTTTGTTGGGACAGAGTCCAACGGTATGGAGCTCCGTCTGGGTGCCATCCCCCAGGATCTCATACGGGGAGTGGGGGCGGGCGGAGGGGTGGTTCACGGGCAGCACAGCCCTGCTGCTCCCCACACGAATGGACTGCCGCGCCCACCAGGACGGTACCACCAGCATGCCACCTGGGCATCCTATGCTCCCTCTCACACCTTTGCAGAGTAGACGCCTAACCTTCCCTGCGATGGACGTGAGTGTGGCAAGACTGTGCCTGTGCTGAGATCGCTGAGGCCCTCACCCTCAGGGCCCTGCCTGCCTGCTGTCTGCTCAGTTCACAGGGCCCTCCTTGTCATTCTGTCCATACATGCTTGCCCTCAGGGCCCTGTTGGATCACCCATAAAGCACCTTCTGAGAAGACCACTCTCTCCTGAAGTTGGCACAGCATGTGTGTGGTGCTCTCAGCATCTTCCGGGCTATACCCACCTCTGCACACAACGAGTGTCCTGTAACAGTTCGTTATATTGTGCCCTCCTGGACTCCTTGTCCCCGTAACTACCTCCTGAAAGAGCCAGCCACCATGCTCTGTGGGCCAGCCCGGCCTGGAATTCCCACATGGACCGACTGGCTATGGTGCACAGCCCGGGGACAAAGCAGCGCGGCTACTTGGCCAAGACACACAGCATGTGATGGAGCCAGGATTCAGACTCGAGCCAGTCAGCTTCAAGACTGGAGAGCCTCAGTCCACACCTGAGGTCCCCACATGCAAGAGGCTGAGGCAGAAGGGTCATGACTTCAGGGCAAGCCAGGTTATACAGGGAGATCCTGTCTCAAAAAACCAAACCAGACACCAGGGATACAGCGGCACAGTGCCTGCCTAGCAAGTGCAAGGTCCTGAGCTTATTCCTGGTACTAAAACAAACACACACAAACCAAAGGGAAGGTCGCTGCCTTTGGAGCTCAGCTCTGGAGGGTGTGCGGGCACCATGTCCTGCCACGAAGGTGACAAGCAGCAGCCCCTGAAGCAGCCCAAGAAACAGGCCAAGGAGACGGATGAGGAAGACAGAGCATTCAAACAGAAGCAAAAGGAAGAGCAGAAGAAATTTGAGGAGCTAAGAACGAAGGCCATGGGAAAGGGCCCCCAGGCCACAGGTGGAATTAAAAAATCTGGCAAAAAATTAACTGTTCCTTGTGTGTACAATGATGTTGACTCTGGATTCCATTCCTATTTAGATATCTGGATGCCCTGCTGTAACATCTCTTGACTCCTATAGCTACAATGAAGTGTGTTCCTGGAGTCTGTTGTACATGTAAGAATAAAATTTTATAAAGAACAAAATAAAAAACAAAAACAAACCAAAGGGGCCAGGGTGATGGCTCAGTGGAATAAGTGCTTCCGTGGCAAGTGCAAGGGCCTGAGTTTAATCCCCGGTTCTGCAAAAAAAAAAAAAAAAAAGGAAGGAGGAACTAGGTTTTGTCGCCCTCATGGACAGACACCAGTGATAACTGCTTAGCATTTATTCATTTCATTTGATCCTCACAACAGCCTTGTGAGGTAGGTAGTTATGTGTTACTGTTACACCCATTTCACAGATGAAGAAACAGAGGTGGCTCAGGGAGACGAGTGACTTAAATCAACTCAGCATGTTAGTGGCTTCACATGTTATGTAATTTCTCTAAATCAAGCTGCTTAAATTAGGAAGCACCAAAGAAGAGGGAGAGTTTTATGGAAAGAAAAAGGGGCAGTGGCCACTGATGAGACTGCCTCCTCTAATTCTTTTGCTGTGGTCACAGCTTCTGCTGCCAAGTCTGAACTGGCTTTCCAGAATATCACTGTCCTGGGGGCCTGGGGCAGCGGTCCCAGAGACTCCTGATCATACCTAGGGAGGAAAAGGCCTGTGTTACCTGAAGGACCTGGCCTTGCCCCAGCCTGGCATACAGGTTCCCTGCTTTCAGGGTGCCCCTGCAGGAGCCCCTTGTTGCCCTGCAGAGGCTTCCTGTTGCGTCTGAGGGCCTCTCCACAGATGAACCACGACATGCAGCGTGGAGGTCTGCGAGGCTCCTCACCTGTCGGAGCTCATGCTTGGGCTCCTTGTCCTGGATCATGCTGAGGAGGCTCATGACCCGACACCGCGAAGAAGGGCACCCGCCTGAGCAGTATCTCAGGGGCTGGCGCTTATTCCAAGGGCAGTGTGACAGTTCAGACACCACACATGGGTGGGCGCCTTGCTGCACAATGCCTCCCAAGGCCCTCTCTTTCCTCTGGGTCTCCTCAGGTGGGACTCTTCATTTTCCAAAGGTGTGCTGAGCCAGGCTGGTGCAGAACATGGATGAGGCGGGGTGGAGTCCCACACAGGTAACCAAAGGGGACCTGTGGACAGGGGACCGAAAGGGCCTGACTTTGAGTTAGTATTTTCTGAGTAAGTGCTTGATCTCTTGAGGTGACTATGGTGACTGCAAAGATACAAACCTGGGGGTAAGGAAGACATGACGCCGAGACCTGGAGCACAGAAGCGGCCGCACAGACTCCTGCTTCATACAGGAAGAGCTTTCTAACAGCACTGCCCAACCACAGCCATGGGACAGTGACCTGTGGTTATTACAGGTTTGCAGAGAGGCACCCACTCAGGCAGATGCACTCCTCACCCCAAATGTGCTGGGGTGATCTGGGGGCTGAAATGGCTAAGCAACCACTGGACTATCCAACCCTGAAGGTTCATCATATACGCTTAGACAGAACTGTTTCATCAATACCTCAAATTTTGGGGATGAGAACTGCAGAACTGTAGTATCAGCTACATTATGAAGTACCTTTCATCACACTGGCTTCAGGTACTTTCATACCTTTGCAGGGCCAGCACCCCCTTTCTGAAGGCAGAAGTCCCTAGACTCAGCCCCCGACTTCTGATCCTTTCTGGGTGCTCACTCCTAGGCTCAACTCTCTCCCTGAAAGGGGCCATAGGACAGCACCAGGAACACATTGCACTCTAAGCCAGCAACACAGGCTTGCCCTGGGCAGTTAAGGCCAAGGTCCCAGTCACATCCCAGGGGGAAGAGTAGGCGTGCAGGGACCTGGCACTGCACATTCTGGGAAATGGAAAGGAGCCTCATCACGCTTCTGCTGCCTCCAGGGGCTCTGTTCGTGGACGGGTAAATGAGGCACGGGCGAGCAGACAGAGACGAAGCACAGATGAGAGTACTGCTCCCTAGACCTGGCCAGAAAGCCCTCCTGTGCACTCCTCTGGTAGACAGCAGCCAACTCTTCCTTTGTCATAACAAACTGCCCATCTCTAGCTCAAAAAAGCAAGAAAAAGGTGGTTTTGCTCAGATGATGTGTGGATTCCAGAATTTGGACTCCACTGGAGGGGAACTGAGTCCTGCTATGCAATTAATGCCGGTTAGTACAGCACCCTGCCTCACACCACTGGTGACATCTCCAGGCCTTGGCTAACACATACCTTGTTGGGAACCACCTCCCCAGAGTTGCTGGGTCTTTTTACCTGTACCGTATTAATCGAATAATCTTATTGTTCATGAAATCCAGAGCATGTGGGTGAGAAGAATCAATGCAGAAGCCATCGCTCAGAGCGATTTTCAGCACCTCCTCCACAAACACCTGGAAGCTGTTGATCTGCTTGTTGGCGGGCACCACCCACAGCCTCTTGAGGTTCTGCTTGGTGTACTCCTCCTCGGGCAGGCCCTCCACGTTGGCTACCCAGTCCAGAGTCAGGTGGTTGGGGTCCTGCAAGTGGCTGGCGATGGAAGAGAGATTGCCATTGGAGCAGTAGAAGAGCTTGGAACCAAGGAGCTTGAGGAAGAGGCAAGATGTGCTGAAAATGTTGGCGTTGAAGACCTCCATGCTGGAGGACGACAGGCTGTAGATCTGGGGCGCCTCCCGCACAGTAAAGTGGACCGTCTGCACACGCTGCCTCAGCGTGATGTTGAGCATGGCGTTCCTCTCGGCCCTGGAGAGCTCCACCTACTTCTAGCGCAGGGCCTCGATCAGAGGCTGCACCTGGTAGAAGTCAGCTTCTCTGCGGAGTAGCCCCATCTCCCGGAAGTCCTCGGGGAGGTCCAGGTGGGAGGTCCGCAGGAAGTTGAGGATATAGCGGAACACTTTGCCATCTCGGTCGATGAAGCAGTTTCCCTGGCTGTCTCGCTTGGTGGGCATCTTTCCACTGAACATGGCCCCCAGCATGGAGTCAGGGAAGCTGGTCAGGGTTGCCAGAGAGGTCGTGTAGAGCTTCCCCCCAACATTCAACGTAATGGGGTCGGACATGGCAGGAGACCCCTGAGGTGTTGGAAAGCAGACCTAGAGAGGGAGGAAGTAAGAAATAACTGTTAACTGGTGTAGACTGTTCTGGATTCAACTCCTCGGACTGGAGTGGGCAAGGGAGGGGGAAGGAGAAGGAAAAGGAAAGAAAAAAAAAAAAAAAAAGAAAGAAAAAGCCTGGGTCTTATGCCCTACAAAGTCTGTCTGTCTATCTATCTATCTATCTATCTATCTATCTATTTATCTATTTATTTTTGAGGTTAAGAGCAGAATATTTATTGGGGGAAAAAAGCTTCTGTCTGAGAGGGACAGAAGGGGGGCCCCAGCGGGTTGTCCCTGGAGAAAGTCTATTTTAATTGGTCTGGAACAAGGCTGCAGACTGGTGACTCTAAGTATTCAGTGAGCCCAGTCAACCATTGGGCCCAGGAACATAGAAAATGCCCCCAGGACCTTCCACACACTTATACGTTGTTGCTCACAGAACAGCCAGAGCACGTTTGACAGAAACAATACCATCGTCCATCCCTGTCACGCAGAGGAGGAAAACTGCTGCGATTCCTTCTCTTCATTCAGAGAGGTGCAGTGATTTGGCAGTATTCAAACTCATATCCCTTTTAATGAATGAAAATGTCTAAAGGCTTACCAGCCCAAGGTTGGTACAGTCTAAATAGTTAATAAAACCTTTGGGGTTTATGATTATAGACACAGTACTTGTAGCGTATGAATGCTTCTGAAAAACACTTCTTTGTAGTTCTGAGGCTCTAACTCCTGGCTTCACACAGGCTAAGCAAATGTTCTACTATTGAGCTAGATCCCCAGCCCAGAAGTTAAGTATTATTATTATTATTATTTGCAAAGAATTTACAATGAATGACTATGATTGCTTTTATTTTAATCTACCTACGAGACCTACGCTTTGGCCTTTTGGCATCCAAATGACTATCCTGTATGGTCTCCTCTGCTCTTGTGCCAACCTGCCTTGATATGACAATGTCCTTGGCTTTGGATGGGTGGCCTCTCTTTTCTTGTCATGGTCCATCTTCCCAACATCCGCTGAGGCTGACCACAGGGTCAGTGGGAGTGTGGGACTCTGCCTAGATCAGCACTCCTGAAGGCTCTCTACCCCTTTCCCTTATCTGACCATGGTTAGCGTCTGGGGCTGGTGAGCCTCAAGGCTGAAGTCTCACATTTTAACTACTCTCTAAGGCTGTGGAAAGCAAGAGCTACTCTCTCTGGGCTTCCAACAGGATTCCTTTCCCATAGCCAATCCGTAGAATGGATTCAGCAAGCTGACGCTGGTGACCGAAGTGAGAGCCCCAGGAGGAATTTGTCCAGCGCTGTCCTCCAAAGAGCTCATAGTAGCTCTAGAAGGGTTGAGAGACAGTGAAGGCTCCGTGATGAGACAGATGTGCCAAGAGCCAGGGTAGCGGGCTGGAGAGGACTTCTGGCACTCAGGAACATCTGGCCAGGTACTGCACTGCCCCAACAGGGAAACAGTGGTCTGTGGGGGCGGACTTCCCTGAAATTAGCCAGCAGAGGTGGCTAGCACTTCTTACCATGTGTTTCTGCCTTTTGAAAGGATGACTACACTGTGACTCCCTCCCCACAGAATGGGGGCCCTGTGGGGTGTGGGAACTGCTCAGCTGTTCGCCCAGCTGCCTGTGGGGAGCGGGAAAGCCTTGTGCTGCTTTCCCAGTCTAATGGGCCACTTTCATACTGCAAAAAGGCATTAACCATCTGGAGCCTAAAGACACAGCATGTAAGTTACACAATTACCAGCAGCCGCCTAAACAGATGGGCTGTGAGACAGTGTGTGGGTGTCCAACAGGGGTGGGTGGCGTGAAAGGTGTGGCTGCTGGGGCTGGAGTGGCTCTCAGAAGCAGCAGCTGGGGAGCATGTGGGGGCTCAGGGCTGAATCAGGAAAAGCTTGGATTAGGGGTGGGTCAACCCTGACCCATTCCAGAATTTTCTTTCTTCCCTGCTTCCCTTCTCCTAGACCTTGTCTTCTCCAACTTTCTTTTCTCTCTAGATCATAAATTCTATATGCTCGTTTTTAGTCTCTCTTCTTGAAAAACAAAACACCCTCACTGAGCTTCAGGCCCAGGCTCTGTGAGGCAACCTGGCTCCACAGAAGGACTGCGCTCAGGAATCAGGTTGGGCTACCTTTTCTGACAGCTGTGCGAGCTGCAGACCTGCGTCTCCTTACAGATCACTGCTTGAGGGCTGAGGAATTGTGGGACAGACAGGTAGGAGCCCACAGGCATTCCTGGGGATCTGCTCAAACTTCGTTTTTGTCCTTTTGAGACAGGGTCTCTGTTCAGGCTAGCCTTGAACTCACTGTGTAGCTCAGGCTTGCCTCAAATTCCCTTCTATGTAAGCCTCCCAAGTGCTAGGATTAGAGGCCTGCACCACCATGCCCAGTTCCTACCCAAACTCTTACTGTCTGCTTGCAAAAGCAGCAGAGTACCTGCTTTCCTTGTCTACCGGATATCACCGAGTCAGTCATTCGTGGGGGTGAGCCGGAGAGTCGTAGCCAAGCAGACTGGCTAGAAGACAGCCTCCAGTGCACTCTGTGGTGCTCGCCTCACCCCTGCAGAGTCACAGCTCCGCTCTGAGGCCCTGTGTTCTCAGTGCAGGCCCTAGTGTCTGCCATCACACACCCACAGGCCTGGAATAAAGGCACAGTGATATGGCACAAGGGTGCACGAGCTGGCCACTGTGGGCAGCTAAGGAACCTCACGAGAAAGTGGCGAGGAGTGAACACCGTGGGGAGAGGGCTCCCTGCGCACGCAGCTCCCTCCCAGACATCTCCACCCGGGTATTCCCACCATCTGAGCCGAATGAATTCTTCTACCCGAGCAGAGGGACACTCCAACGCCACAGCCCAGACCCACGAAGAAGCTGCAGCTGGTCTCGACTCTCAAATTTACCCTTAGCACTACTGGGGGATCCCAGGCCACACCCCTGACGGCTGTGCTGTCCATGCCCTGCTTCCCTCCACTCTCCATTGTGGGCTGCAGACTGCTGCTCCTGAAGCAGGCTCTCCGCCCCTTTTCCTCCAGCCCTGCCCCTCCACTCGAGGTCCTAGTTCTATTTTTTTGAGACAGGGTTTTGCTTTGTAGTTTGGGCTGGCCTTGTGCTCACTTTGGTAGCCCGCAGGCTGGACTCGAACTCGCAGTGATCCTCCTGTCTCAATCTCCCAAGTGTTGGGATTACAGGTATGTGCCTCCACGCCCAGTCCCCTCCCCTCCCCCAGCAAGCACAGCATGAGGTATAGGGATTGAACTCGGTCCTTGTGCTGGCCACATAGATGCTTACGTTGCCAAGCTACCTCCCCAGCCCAGGTTCTAGCTCTTAAGGCATCACGGTCACCCTCCCCCTGCTACATGGCTTGCCTCTGCCATCCCCTCATCTGCTTTCTTTGCTGTCGGCCGTTAAGGCCTAACAGGAGACATGCCTACTCACATCACAGGCTCTCTCCTCTGCTTCCTGGAACTTCATGCAGCCCTCTCTGGCAGCACACAACCTCTGTCGTGTGCTCTGCACTTGCTCTGCTCCCTTCTCTATTAAAATGCAGATCACTGGACCTCATATGAGGGGAGATAACCCCAATCCAGCTCTTGTACCACATATGAAAAATTACCTCATAATGGATCACATACTGGTGAAACCTGAAACTGTAACATTTCTGGGAGAAAGTACTTCTGACTTTGGGTTAGTTAGGTGAAGACCACCTAGAACATGTTTAAAAACTGGTAACACATGCTTCATCCGAAAGAAAAAAAAACCCTGCTCTTCAAAAAATGCTGTTAAGATAGGCCAACCAAATTGCTCAGCACTGAGAGGCAATTTGAGACTGGGCATGGTGGCGCATGCCTGTAATCCCAGCTCCTGGGAGGCTGTAAACAGGTGGATCACTGTGAGTCTGATCTAGTAGTGAGACCCTGAACACTGTAGACCCCCCCCCCCCCCCAAAAAAAAACCCACAAAAAATGCTGTTAAGAAAATGAAAGGAAAAGAAAGCACCAGACAGACATAGATTGGGAGAAAATATTTGTAAATTGTTCATGTGATAAAGGATTAACCAGAGTATATAAATATGAAAAACCAATTTTAAAAATGGGCAAGGGTGGGGATGTAGCTCCACAGTGCTTACCTACCACAGGAAAGGCTCTGGGTTTGAGTATCTGCACAAGATCTGAATAAATACTTCACCAAATGAGATGTATAGGCCTGGGACACATCCAAAGAGTCGCTGCTTGCGAGTCGCCCTGGGCAGAGTTCCTTTCGCTCCCTTTGCTTTGCATTCTAAATTCTAAAGAAAAGCTGCACCTAAATGATTAAGATGTTCACTGCTAAATGATCCTTACATCTAAGGAACCCACAACATCTGGTAAAGTTTAGATTGTATCACAAGATGTAAGATGAAGTTTAACTTGTTAACAAAGTAACACTGGTCTAAGGGATTATAGGAACCAGCTGCACAGGGCTGCGGTCAACTGCAAAGTTTTGAAAGAAAGACCCACACCCTGCTTGACACGGACCCTACTCGGCAGGCAGCCTTGCTGCCCTCTGTCCCGCATCGCCTCTCTTCCCTCGACATAAAAGCCTTTTCATGTACCTGAGGTCCCCAGTGGTAGTTTTCCTTAGAGATGAGGAGACAATAGCACTTCCTCACCCACCTATTAAGGATACTGGCATTGAATAAACTAAATCCATTGGCTTTTAAGGATGTACAGACAAAATTTGAAATGGCACATGCAAAGATGTTCAAAATCATCACTTATTAGGGATATGAAAATTAAAAACAAGATTAGATGACACTAAATGATAGTTTCTGGACTGAACAGAAACTGCTAAATTATCATGGCCCTGATCCAACATGGCTGAATCCCCTAAACAACAGCTTATCTCCCCATGACCACTTCCTCCTCCTTCCCCACTCCAGCCCTGGATACAGCTTCCTCTTACCTTTCCGGTCCACAGAAGGGAGCCTCCCGTCAGCTCCTCATGTGTCATTGAACCTGGCCCTCAAACTC